GGTCAGCGCTGCTACAGGGAGCTCACTGGTCAGCGCTGCTACAGGGAACTCTCACTGGTCACTGTCGCTACAGGGAGCTCACTGGTCAGCGCTGGTACAGGGAGCTCATTGGTCAGCGTCGGTACAGGGAGCTCTCACTGGTCACTGTCGGTACAGGGAGCTCACTGGTCACTGTCCGTACAGGGAGCTCACTGGTCAGTGCTGGTACAGGGAGCTCAGTGGTCACTGTCGGTACAGGGAGCTCACTGGTCACTGTCCGTACAGGGAGCTCACTGGTCAGTGCTGGTACAGGGAGCTCAGTGGTCACTGTCGGTACAGGGAGCTCACTGGTCAGTGCTGGTACAGGGAGCTCAGTGGTCACTGTCGGTACAGAAATGGCAGCTGTAACCATCAGCTCTGTTCACAACATTCCTCTCTGAACGAAAGTAAAATGGCTGTTGTTAAAAGGGAGAAAGATTTATATAACAGAATAAACTAAAAAGCAACCAAGGTCAGTACATAAATTCCTGTACCTAAGGTGACTCTGCAAATGTGTGAAGTCTTGATTTTCTTTGGTAGCATTTCCAGTTGTCTGCTGAGGTAAGGGGCCTTGTGGTTTGAGCTTCCAACTGTCACCCTCAGGGTAGATAGAGCTGAACATCAATCGAGGTATAAAAATATGTTTCTGTGACATCATTCCATTCTGGGGAGGCAGATGTCACTGGGCAACACAGGTTCTCTGCGGTCATCGCTGATGACATGCTAAAAATTGCAGTTGTGAGTAAATAATTCTTTTTAGCAAACCCCAGGATCCCTACCACGAACTTGATGTTCCAGGGAATAATAAAAAGACAGCAGATAGCCCCAGGTACAAATGCAATTGGCACCATTGAGAGGCAAGGGTTAAACAAAGCAACAGCACAAAAAGTCCTGTTCATGGATGGTGAATGAATGTGCTGGTGAGAAAGCTGTGTGATTGGCAGAGACTTCAGTGGCACCCTATAGGTCACTGGCTATTTACAGTCTCTCCACACTGCTCAACCTGGGGGCAGCGGTGCTGAGGAGTGTAGAGTTTTACTGATTCATGAAACAACTCAACAAACCTTCAATTATATCAACTCAGAGTTCAACAGCGAGGTCTAATTTCAGAATGGAACTGCTGCCTTTACAAATATACACCATCAAGAGATTTCAAAGCAGCTCCTTTGTAAACTGTGCTGTAGGAGTTTCCAGAAAATTCAGTAAATTCCTATTTGGGATTACAAAGGAGCTATGTCACTCAGGTTCACTTGAAACGATGGCCAAGTTTATTTGGTACTAAAGGATCTTCAGTACTGACTGCAGCATTAGTGGCGCGTCCTGTCTTTTGACAGCACAAAACCACTGAGCAGCAAAGGAACTTCTTGCTGCATCCCTCCTCTCTCATGTCCTTCTCAGTCTCTTCTTCTGTTAATCTCCCACGTCCATGCAACGCCCTGTTATCTTCTCTATTTCTCCCACTGCACTCTCAATTATACTATGCCTCATCCTTTTCCTCATGCCATTTCTCTGTGCTTCTGCCATTTATTTCTCCTATTCCTCACTGACAGTTCTTACTTTCCAGTGATTCCCAAACTCTTTGAAGCATTTTGCTATAGCTGCAGTCTATCTCTTGTCACACCTACTTTAATAATAAGAATTTTAAAGAAACAGAATGAGTGCAAAATAAAAAGCAAATTCTGTAGCTCACTTCGAGAAGTTAATCGATATACTTAACTCTTGCTATACAACAAGTACAAAACTCCTGACACAAAAGCATAGTACAGCAAATGCTGGAAATTTGAAATGCAAACAGAAATGTTGGAAACACTAGAAAGTCAGGCAGTATTTCTTCAGAGAGAAATGGAGTTCATGTTTCAAGCCTGTGACCTTCATCAGAACTATTGATCTCTCGGGTAGATGGAGCTTTACTCCATATCAAACTTTGTGCTGCAAGTACTTGCGTCACATTTCACTGTTAAATATGGATTCATTCACTACATGGAACACACTTCTTGTGATTTTCCGTCCATTATCATTCCTGAAATGGAAAACCATGGGATCTGTCGCAGAATGTTCCCTTTTTCTTCAATAAGTACTTGCAAACTGAGCCTGAACCTGGCCTCACCTGTCCATGTGAGTAAACACACATGCCTTGAGCCATGTTAATGAAAGTTGAACTCTCCACAGTGTCCCACAATCGTGAGGGGAACTGAGACTAACCCGAGTGATAACTTACATAGATGTCTTTCTGATTCCATATATCAAAGTGCTTCGTTAGTGCTGATGAAATACCTCACCATCACTCCCGATTTCTCTAAATATTCAGACTGGTTCTTCAAAATCCAACACTGGATGAACGGAAATGTCCTCCAATCAAATATTTGGAGGCTTGATAGATAAACAGGAGGCTGGAAGAACACAGCAAGCCAGGCAGCATCTGGAGGAAAGGAGCAGTCAGCGTTTCGGGTATTACCCTTCTCCAAGACTGGACGTGGGGGTAGGGGGAGCTGCAGGGAGTAGTGGAATGGTGATGATAGGTGGACACTGGTGGTAGGTACAACCTGGTTGGTCGATGGGAGGGATGAATCCGGTTGGTGGCTGGAAGGGAGGGTCAGAAGGTTGAATGGAAGGGAGGAGGTGGGGCTGGAAAGGGAACCAGGGGATGGTGGGCGGTTATTTGAAATTGGAGAACTCAATGTTGAGTCCTCTGGGCTGTAGTGTGCCCAGGTGGAAGATAAGGTGCTGTTCTTCAAATTTGCGTTCCGAGTTGCTGCGACTCTGGAGGAGGCCGAGGATGGACATGTCGGAGGGGAGTGGGACGGGGCGTTTAAATGGGCGGTGACTGGGAGATTAGGTTGGCTGTTATGGGCCAGGCGAAGATGCTCGGTGAAACGGTCACCTGGTTTACGTTTGGTCTCACCAAAGTAAAGACGACCACGTCAGGAGCAGCGGATGCAATAGACGAGGGTTGGAGGAAATGCAGATGAATCTCTGTCTCACTTGGAAGGACTGCAAAGGCCTTGGGTCTAGCTTTAGACTCTGTTCCTTAACCACGGACTCCATCCCTTTCTCTGGCAATTGTCTAAGGCAGAATCAGACTGTACACAACCTCAGTGTTGTGTCTGACACTGACACGAGCTTCCAGCCAAATCCAGGTACCATTGCAGGGCAATTCCCTAACTTTAGAATCCTTATCCTTGTTTTCAAATTCCTCTAGGGCCTCACCTCTCCTGGTCACTCTTATCTCTGACAAACACAAAATCTCTGCCCTCTTCCAATTCAGGCCTCTTGCATATCCCCAAATGTAAACAGTCCAGCATAGCAGAGGTGCCTTCAACTGTAATCTCGTTCTGGAAATCCTTTCATAAGTCTACCTCCTGCTCCCCCTTTAAGGTGCTAATTAGCTCTTGAACTAAGTTTTTGGTAATCTACTCTAATGAAGCAGAGAAAAAAAAGATCCTTTCAGAAATCAGATTTTATTTATTTATTAAGGGCACAACCATTTTTAAAAAGAGGTTATTCAAGGAATTGTAGAGGGCTCATTAATCACCAGTAATACCCAGTCTCAACGGATTACAAGCAGACTGCTGCCATAGATGTGAAATATGATTACACTGTCTTTAAACGGACATTCATTTTGGATTTGTTTTTAAACAAAAAGCAAGAATCTATACTATTAACAGACACACTGGTGTGATCACCACTTCAAAGATGTCACAACAACAGACATCTGTCCAGCGGCAAACACACTCATCTCTCTGTACATCCTCTGATGTTGAAGGCATGAAACATAACAGGGACAACAAGACAAAGCACAAGTGTCTTCATAGTTCAGCAGTGAGTCACCAGACCTTTTATTTAATGCTAGTCATGCTCTTTAATGTATCATCTGCTTACACGTGATGCAGAGTTACACCGTCTAAAACTAGGGATTCCTCTGGTCAATAACATCAGTGATGAAGTCAGAAACAGTAGTGACGCCAAGCTTCTCATTTGAGAAGGAATTCCACGCCCATTTGCACCAGGTAAGCCCGATTACATTGACGCCATTAATCAACTGATCATTCAGGTAAAACACCTCAACTGATCATTCAGGTGAAACACCTCAACTGATCATTCAGGTGAAACACCTCAACTGATCATTCAGGTGAAACACCTCAACTCCATCAACCTCTCTATTCCATGCAGAATTGCCTTTAGCTGTGGTGTACGACTGCTTCTGATATTTTCCATGTCCAAGGACAATTACATTCTGATGTCTGACTTGTGCACTAAGTTCTAAGAGGAGCATAAAGGCCATATCCTTTTAGTTTTCTGTCATTGACTTGCGGTAAGATGGCAGCGGACCAGGGTTTCTGAGCCCAGGGATCATCTGTTCCGTCCACTTTTCTGTTTCTTTTCTTTGTTTTCCCCTCTCTTCCCTGGTATTTTTTTTCTCCTCTATTTTAGTTTACTTACCTCTTGGTGAAGAGCTTGATTGCAGCGACAGCAGCGAGTGGGACCGGCAGCGCGGGCCTGTGGTGGCGGCTTCTGCATCATCATGGCTGCTATGGAGGAGGAGAGCTTGGGTTCCCGGCAGCATCTGCTTTCGTCAGTGATACTTGGAGGCGACAGCGGAGGCAGGTTTGGATCCAGTACGAGACCCGGCAGCATCAACAGCGGCAGCATCGGTGAGGTGGGCCGAACAGGACACTTGGCGTGGGCGAAGTTGAGTTTGGACCCGTTTGGTACCTGGCAGCCTCAGTAGCGTCTGAACTGGCGAGGGCATCAGTGGAGGCATGATGGCACTGAAAAGTGGCAACTTTCGTTTCAGTGGCAGTGGTGCAGTGAAGGGACTTGTGCCTGGCCACCAGGCCGATGATGGAGCTCTTAACAACAAGGACTGTAAAGTTGGACGCTTTCTTTGTTTCTTCATTTTTCTGCCTTTACATTCTATGTTTTGGTTTATTTTTCCGTGTTTTAAGATGGCCCAGAGAGTGGTGACGCTATGCAACACTTGTCACTGTATTTTTGTAACAAGATACATGGGAGATTAATAACTCAAATAAATCATTTTGATGGTAGACTGAAATGAGAAAAAATCTCTCAAAAACAGAGGATTGCTGCACTTTTTGGAAAGCAAGTAACCTGACATTCATTTTAAGTACTGTTTACACAGCTGCTGGTTTAAGCAGTATACAGATAGTTTGCAGACTAGCCGGAGAACTGTGTACAAATGGAGATTCAACCAGCCACAAGTAGCTGATTGCTCTGTGGACTAGAGACCTGTTGTCAATGACAAAGACCTTTGCCTGACAACAATTATGTGTTTTGCTCTCAGGTAGCTGTACAACCTGGGGGTGTGAACAAGATACAGTGAAGCCATCAGATCAGTGCAGGAAGAAAACACTTTAAGTCTGAAGAAACACAGTTTATTTTCCTTCAGCAGTTGCTATAAGCGATAATTAAGTAATACGTCAAAGGCCTTTATGGGTGTCAACCAGTCCCCCAAACAAGTACAAGCATCCAGAGAAGGAAGAATAAGAAGCAGCGCTCTGATCAATGTTGCCATGCTTTCCCTCCATCCATAACACCCAAGTTGTTTTTTCCACAGTCTGTGTGTGCATAACGGAGAGTCTTATAGGGAGTTAAGAGTTTTCATACAATCATAGAATCTCTAGTGTGGAAGCAGGCTATTCGAGTCCACACCAAGTTTCAAAGCAGCGTCCCACCCAGACCCACACCCTCACCATGTCCCCATAACTCTGCATTTTCCAAGGCTAACTCACCTAGCCTACATATCCCTGAACACTATGGGTAATTTAGCATGGCCAATCCATCTAACCTGCACATCTTTGGACTATGGGAGGAAACCGGCGCACCAGGTGGAAACCCATGCAGACAAGGGGAGAATGTGCAAACTCCACACAGTCGCCCGAGAGTGGAATCGAACCCGGGTCCCGGGTGCTGTTAGACAGTAGTGCTAACCCCTGAGCCACCATTCAATAGAGTTATAGGCCAACAATCCATAATCATTTACCTGTAGCTAGAGTCTATTTATTTGTAGTAAATAGTCATTCTTATCAAGTACAGAACCCTGACCCTGGCTTTCTGTCAACATGGGTCTAAAAGACAGGTTAAAATGGGAATTCTGTGTACTTTTCAAAATAATTTAACTTTCACAACAGCTCCAGGAATAGCAAGGCTTGATTTCCAACACATTACCCCAGTGAGGTGCATGCCTTAGACAATATCAGTCTGAGCATACAACAACAGGGTCTGCTGAGCTCTTGCTGTCCATCACTACAGATGAAGTTCTGAAAGCCAAATTTACTAGACTGGGTCTGCAGCAGGTACTGAAAGAAGCAATGACAGGGGAAAACATATCTGACCTTGCTCTTACTGACCTAGCTGTTGCAGATACATGTGTCTATGACAGCAGTGATATGAATGATCACAGCGCAGTCATTATGGAGACAAAGTCCCATTTTGACATTAAGGACTCCCTCTACCATGTTGTGAGGCAACAGAAGGTTGGGTAGCTATGCTAAATGGGATTGATTTACAACAGATTCAGCAACTCCAAACTGGGCATCCATGAGGCACTGTGGGCCATAAGCAGGAACAAAATTATTTGAACCATGATTTGTAACCTCATAGTCATGGCAGTGAGGAAAATGCCAACCCATCATGAGAGGCAATCAATCTCAATTCATTGGGTCTAGGAGAATGTACCAAGAGTAGCACCTGGCATACCTAAAATGAGATGTCCACTTGTTGAAGCTACAACACATGACCATGTGAATGTTAAACAGAGGATGCTGCATGCAATAGACGGAGCTAAGTGATGCCACAATCTACAGATCAGATCTAAGCTCTGCAATCCTGTCACATCTAGTTGTGAATGGTAGTGAACAATTACACAATTAACTAGTGGAGGGTTTTCATTAGTTCTAGTTTTTTAATTTCACAGAATCATACATCAGAGGGTGGGGGCCCATTTAGTTATCTAATTTGTCCCGATCTCCCAATCTTACCCTGTAGCCTTGCAACCAATTGCCCTGTCAGGCCCAATGTTCCTTCAGTCAGTGCTGGATGGACTGGCTGTCAATTATGTTATTCAATTAAGGTCAGGCTGTGAGAAAGTGCTCCTTTTTTTGTAGTCTTTCCTTTTGGTCAGGAAAGATATAGCCGATGACTTTAATGGTGACAAGTATTTTTATACAGCCCACATGCACCAAGCACAGAAATTCAGAAGATGCAAGGCACAGCTAAGCTTCCTCAGACTGAGCCCAGCCTTCACTTTGGAAGCATTTTTGTCTGGCTGAAGTTCCAACTGTACTGTGCAGACTGAGTTACAATACATGATGATGAACAGTGCATTCAGGTGGAGGGAAGGTATAAAACGGGTGATACTGAATCAGCTACCCATTATACATCTTTCTTGAATTTTGATTTCATTGGATGTGAACTAACATTGGAAGTGATGCAAAATGATTGGCTGAATCGATTTGGCATATTTTACTACATCCCCCAAAGTTGAAGTGGTTTTGCACTTTGTGTGGAGAGAAGAGTTGCTTTACAGTTTCACCATGAACAGAGACATTCTACATCAGCAGAAGCACAGACAACATCAAACTGCATACAATCCTGTTTCTCAGCTTCACTAACAATAAGCACTCATGTCAGAAGCGGCCATTGCTCCGGAGGTCAGTTACATCGTCAGAGAGGGCACAGCTGATTAAAATCCATTGCTGCGAGACTCACCACTTCCGAAGCAAAGGTTAAGTAGTTCTTCCTACCTGAGCCTTGTGAACCTGATTTTTGCACAGTGGACGAACTCTGAGACTTGGTAACCGCCTGCACGGGCGCTGCAACAATGGTTCCACTCGCTCCGCTCACAACAGCCTTCGCCACCCCCTGCGCCACAATCTGCTTCTGACTGACAGCCCGGGCAACAGTGGTGCCTGGTTTGGCAACAATTATCTGCCCACCACTGAGTGCCACTGCCTGCTTCACCACTGGCTGCAAAGTTGAACCCACCGGAATCCCAACAACCTGTGGGCGAACAAATGGTATTTTTAATCACATTGTGCCCTCCAGATAAACAAGGATAATAAACACAATGGGGAACTCAGGAGCAACTTCCTTACTGAGAGCTGTTGATGCTGGGGCTACAACTCGAGATTTTAAGACTGAGATCTATAGATTTTTGTTAGTAAGGGTATCAAGAGGTATGGAACAAAGGCAGGTAAACAGAGTTGTTTCGGCAAATCAGAAACAAAAACAGAAATTGCTGGAAAAGCTCAACAAGTCTGGCTGCATCTGTGGTCAGAAAATAGAGTTACTGTTGCGGGTCCAGTAACCCTTCCTCGGAACTGATTGTAACTAGGGAAAAGTTGTTTTTTACACAGAAGATAGGGTGGGGGAAGGAGGTAAGGAGTAAACGATAGGTGGAGAGAGAGCCCAAAGGGACAGAAGAAAAGGTGGACAGACAAAGGAGTGGATAACGGTCAGCCTAGGAAAATGAATAGCTGTTGATAAGGACTAACAGTGAGGTGCAAATCAGCAGATTGTAATGGAATAACATAGCAGGTTTGGACGGGCTGAATGGCCTACTTCTGTTATTAAAACAACTGAACCAATGGTAGTTTGTTCTGGCTAGTTTGAGAGTTAAATAGAAATGGGAATACTAGAGATCATACATATAAAGTATGACAACAAATGCTAAACTAGAGCTGGGAAATATTTCTAATCTGAGATTACCTGTCTTTCAAAAAGGGAGCTGGATGAGTTCCCAAGAGTGAAAGTTGCTCAAGTTGCTGTGGTTGAACAGGGCAAGCTTTGATTATTGTTTTAATGCAGTATTTTTTTTTTAATTCATTCACAATATGATGGCAGTGCTGGCTAAACCAGCATTTATTGCCCATTCCTAATTACCCAGAGAGCAGTTAAGAGTTAACCATATTGCAGTTGGTCTGGAGTCACATGTAGGTCAGGCAAGGATGGCAGTTTCCTTCCCTAAAGGACATTAGTGAACTAGATGGGTTTTTCCAACAATCAACAATGGATTCAAGGTCATCATTAGACTCCACCATCTGCCGTGGCAAGATTTGAACCCATGTCCTCGGAACATTATCTTGATTTGGAATAGCAGTCCAGCAATAATACCACTAGGCCATTACATCCCCTTAATTTTAGCGAGTTGTCTGATTATTTTTCGGAATTGGGGAAATATTTCCCAGATGTGTCTTTAAATCTCAATCTGTCCCTCCAGAAGACTGAGAAATTAGGGGGAAGATCAGTGGTGTAGGAAGGTGCAACATTCAAGGACAGGGGCGGAGAGTTCATGATAATCCAGAAGGGACCTTGCCATCCTTTCTCTCTCCATGTCTGCTTTGATGTCTTTATTCTCCAACCTCATACTGGCTCTGCAGGTGAAAAGCAGCCTCTCATGTTTCATCTGAAGTGGCAATTTTTACATGTCTATAACGTCTACAGTGACTTCTAACAAATTTGCAGAGCACAAAGGCCACTCAGCTGAATCTCATCTAATCCCCAACTCATATCCATGTATATTCACTTTCCAACGAGGAAGATTGCAGGATAGTGCTGGGAGCAAAAATTCTTGCTAACTTTATCTTTGAAGAAATATAAAGTACAAACTAGTTCAGGAGTAGGAGGATCTTTTTTAGCAAATCAAATTATCACTAAGTATGAAGGCTGTATATTTATCCACATGCAAGCTTTGATATAATTGGAAGTATGCTTTGGAATTATATCCATTCACAGAAAGTGCTAGCCTGTAGTGATTTTTTTTTAATTCAGAACATTATGTTTCATCTTTATCCTTCCATGGAATTAGCACGTCATTGACAAGGTCAGCATTTGCTAGCCATTCCTAAGTGACCTTGAACTGAGTGCCTTGCTAGGCCATTTCAGACAGCAGTTAAAACTCAACTGTAATGCTATGCATCTGGAGTCACATGTAGGCCAGACCAGGTAAGGATGATAGATATCCTTCCCTAAAGGGCACAAGCAAATCAGACAGGCTTTAATGAAAACCTATGATAAGTTTCATGGTTACCACTACCAAATGAGCTTTCACTTCTAGAATTTAATTTTCGATTCCACAGTGGCCGTGGTTGGGTTTGAACCCCTGACCCCACAGCATTAAAACTGCCTCTGGATTACTAGTCCAGTGACATTACCACAAAGCCAATCTCCTCCAAAGGTAGACAACTGATTTGTGACATCAGCAGGTTCTCAAGTGTGCTGAGTGTCAGTGATGGAACCCATCAGGCTGCTCAGTCATGACATAGCTCCACTCTCTCAACAAGCGCCCAGCAGCAGCTCATCTACAGTCTGCTCAAGCTGTTCCATGACAGTCACTTCTGAAATCTTACCTTGGTCTGGGTAACTCCTGTCCCGAGTCCGCTGCTGTGTTTCTGTGGAGAAACTGCAATCACCTGGCCACCCTTCACAGTCACAAACTGCTGCACAGCCTGCTGTGTAGACACAGCTGTGACCCCCGACTGCTGGGCCACTGTTTCCCCTGGTTCCTGCTTGATGATTACCTACAAGGGACAACCACAAACCTTATTTATTTATTTCAAGTGACTGCTAACAATTATCATAAACAAAAGACAAGGCACACATTTTAACTACTGCTAAAAAAGCTTCCACTAGCATCTGAGACA